ATCTTAAAAACTATAATTTTGATGATATAATTGTATTCCATTACATAAATGAACCACAATTTTAAATCCCCTCCTCACATTTTTTTAATATTGTTACTATTGCTGCCATGAACATCCTTGTGGGTAAATTTTTACCAGCATGTTTTATTACTTTTTTAGAATAGAGAGACTATTCTAAAGTCCTATTCTAGACAAGTCCTAGAAAGGTTGTTACTGGGTAAGAAGACAGGACCATTTTTAAGGCTCTTGATTTGTCTTGCCAAATTGCCTCAAAAGGTGCTTGTCCCCATCACACTTCTCCCGGTGCCATCCGAGTAGACCCACTTCACTGCACTCTTGCTAATGTTGGTATTAGCATTTTAAAGTTCTTTTCTGATATTTTTTAATGCCAGCTCTCTATTGCTGTATTTTTTTTAATAGTGTCAAGACGACGGGAACAGTGATCCGTAGGTTCCCAGTGGCAGGCAGGGGGCTTCTCACATCAGCAGGGTTTCAGTGCTGTGGGTGGGCTTGTTCCTGAGCTGGAATATCAGTCTGCTTCTAGCCTTTTCTGCAAATGAAACTTCCGGGCAGGACTGACCCTGCTAGGTCCCACATGTCCCTCTGAGCCTTCACTCTGCTCACCGAGAGGAGGCTCCCATAGGGAGGGAAACCCGCAGCCAGCCTCACCTGCGAACGAAGAGTTCTAGCACCTGCAGGCCCTCAGCTTGTTCTTGGCAAGCACGTTGGCTCCTGCTTTAACGAGCAGCTTGGCCGACTGGCTGAAACCGTGCCAGGACGCTTCATGCAGGGCCGTGTTCCCGTCCTAAGGAACACACACGGGGGAGAAGGCACATTATCCGTGACCTAATTCTTCTCATTACAGTCAGTACATCACAGCGGATCTTTACGGTACACCACAGGGCCTTTCTCAACTGGGGTTCTTCATGTGAACCACAGAATGCAGAAATGATTTGAGTGGCCAGTTTCTCCATTCTCCCAGAAATGGAACATCATAAGAATCATTCCAGATGCACAGAGGAGATAGAAATTCATGAGGTACAGTGGATGCCTTAGGCATTTGGGTTGAAGTTTCCCTGGGAGCCCTGGTTGAGAAAGGTTCCAGGGCCCACGTGCAGCTGCCATTCAGCAGAAAGCAACATCGGGACAGCACGCTGTCCATTCCTTTCCACCTCTACCACCCCTCCAGATCTGCTCTGCTCCTGGCACCAGTGAGAACCCTGCAAAGGCTGGGCAAAGGAACAGTCTAGCTTCCCAAGTTTCAGGGGCCCAGGGCCCTGATGGTTACATTCTCCCTCCCCATCTTTTCACCAAAATTTAATCTCATCCAGCTTAAATCCAAAAGCTTCAGGGCCCCAAACAAATGAGCAGGCACTGTGGAAACAGTGATTTGTAAACAAGATAAACAAGTGTCCTCAACATGTGGCTTTTAAATAAAAACCAATTATCCAACATAGCTCGTATTTGCTTAACTTACTATAAAGAAAAAAAAGAGAGAGAGAGAAATATCATTAAGTGCAATGAATGAGTGGGATGAGAAGGTAGGAGTTACAGAGAGGGGGACGCTGGAGAGGGGAGGTAGAGACGCCCCCCTGCTGTTCCAGGCCAGGGTGCAGGGTGGTCAGCCAAGGCCAGTGCAGGCGCGGTCTCCAATTACGTCCAGGATCTGGCTTAGACTGTTACTCAACTACACCTGTGCCCCTGGGAATAGCCAGAAATGTGCACATGCAATGAGGCCTAACGTTGCTGACACCCGTAGGGGAAAGTCTAGGGTCCCAAAGGCCATGGAGTGGGTGCTGTTGGAAAGGTACCAGCGATGTGTGGCCCGGCCAATGGGACTGACTACAGAAGCAGGAAGCAGAAGGAAAGGGGAGGAGTGACAAGAAGCGGACACCGGGTCAGGGGCTTCAGGGTATAGGAAAGGAGCTGCTTCTTGACCTAGGTGCTCACACAGGTGTGTTTGGGTAGAGAAACTCATCGAGCTGAGTGCTCACTATTTGTGTACTTTTCTGTATGTACGTTACACTTTAATAAAAAGTTTTTTAAGAAAAAAGTGAGCAGAGGCTGAATTACGCTTAATTGTGAAGTTCCATGTCTTAAGACAGGCCAATTAAAAACACTGGGTTAATATATAATATGTCCTTGGGATTTCTTAAAGAAAGGATCTATTTTGCTTATTTTTTTCTTCCAATATAGTTTAAACAAATTAACTTGCTCTCTTATCTAAAAAAAAAAATAAGTAAACAGAAAGTCTAGGGGCTCATCCCTTCCCCCCAACCCCCATCCAGGCCTCCACGGGTCATTATTTCTCGATTTTTTCTCTACCATTTAGATTTATGTGGTTGTCACTGGTGCCACAAAACAAGGGAAAGGATTTTTTTTTTTTTTTTTTTTTTTTTAAAA